ACAGAGTTTACTTGAGCTATAAACCTGAAGAGTATTATATAGGAAACATAGTAATAGTGAGTGTGTGTATCTGTCTTCCAAATGGACTGTTAAAACTGACCTTGAAAACAGTTGAGAACAGCCCTAATGGTATGTCTTAGATATCTGTATAGAAACGGACAACAGTGTTTCCTGCACCTTTTAATTTTTTTTTTTCAAATCCATTCTAATTGGTGAATAAACTTCACACACAAAAGTACCATATAAATAAAACATAAAAGTCCATTAAAATACTTACCTCTAGGAGCTTCTTATTAAAATTTTCTCCTGATACTACAGATAGTAGTGGAATATTCAAAAGGATCTGGCTTCACAAGAAGTAAAACATACTTAAATGTGGGGAACTTAAACATTTTAGGACTAGGCTTCTAATGACTTGCCTCCTTGAATTTCTGAGTTCTCTAATTTTGATACGGTCTAGTTATCATGCTGCCCAGAGAGGTTTCCATAAGGAACCAATTAAGAATCAGATACACAAGAAGTGACTACATTTTTTTACTGCTTTACCCAACCAAAAGCTTAATAAAGTAAGTCTACACAAAATTAAAATATTGCCATAGCTAATTTAATTGTTCCCCTATACTGCATAATTAAAATAGCATTTGTGAACTGATTTAAAAATTGCACTATGCTTGAATGATGTAATAGAGGTATCTCTGCTGAAGCTAAGTCTGCTGAAAACCTTCATCTTGCTTTACCTTACTTTTCTTCCCACAATGGTCTCTAAATACCATAATGCTTTATGAGCAGCAATCACTGCAAGCATTATGTCAAGTGACCCCAGTACCCCAGCAAACTGCTAGACCAGGGGTCCAGGGGTTCAGCATGACAGTGGTACTGTCTTCATATTCAGGAGCTCTGAAGTGATTTAAGTCATGGTATTAAATGGACTTGTTTTGCTTATACAAGAGAATCTCTAGGCAAGCTCCACCTTGGGGAAAAAAAAAAAAAAAGTAGTAAAAAAAAAAAAAAGCCAAATGCTGTTAAAACCACTTCAGTAGTAAAAAAAAAAAAAGTAATAAGGACCATATTTAGTCCCATAAAGTGTTATTTTTGTTACCCCCTGAAATATAACAGGATCTATTTTCACAGATTCTTGTTTTCTAGGGAAATACTCATGCCATCTGCTGGAAAGTTATGGAATTTAGCAAGTAATTTTTTCAGTAGCATTTTACTTTGCTAGTTTTTAGGTGTTAAATTGTTGCACTTGTTCTCTTGTAAAGATCTGTGGGTAAATGTAATATAGTTCAAAGGCACTTAAGTCAGGTGGTCTGGCAGCTGACTGCAACTTTTTGTACACTAAGAAGGTATTAAACAAATTACCATCATAATTTGGTACTGATTATGTGGGCTTAAACCTTTCAAGTGAAACACCAACTCAGTTTATCCAGTCAGTTAACACTTAGGACTTGTTTTCTGCCCTCAACTGACTGGTTAATCATACTAATTTTATGATATGGTTGACTGTGACAAGAAACAAATTAAAATTAGATCTGTTCATGTGGGTTACAGAAACATCAAAATCATCTGCAGATGATTCTAGATTTCTGGATTGAAATTAGTGAGATATCCACATTTTCAGTTCCTTGGACGAGCCTCTAGCTTGTACGCATCTAAGGTCAGCCTCTAAATGCATCATTAGACACCCCATAATTACAGGTATCCAACATTCCTGCAGGGATAATGTAGGATAACTACTAATAAACCAAAAATCATTATGGAGTTACCTAACAACTACAAAAAGCATTCTGCATCCTCAAAGATTATGCAGAAAGCAGGACTGTCCTCTAGCTTTTAATATTAAATAATCTCCAGGTTCATATCAATATGATGCAAGGAAAAAATACAGTATTTAAGCATCAAAATTCTCAGCTATATATAGTTAATACTTGCCTGTTCTGTTACTACTCCATGGCTAAGACCCATTCTGAAGAAACAGAACCCATCTTGCATATGAAGTAAACTGTCTTGCTATTCATTCCAGGTGAAGATATAGCAAAGAAACTGCAGAACATGGAGCTGAATAAGCTACCTTGAAACTGCTCCCCATGTTGAGGCTTGTGATGTCCTTAGGTAAACTTACAGACACCTTCAGTCTGCCAGGGATGGATAACTCAAACAGAAGCACAACAGACCATGGTAGTTAGGAGCAGAGAGCAGAGTTAAGCTAGAGTTACAGGGACAGGAAAATCAATTAAAAACCCATAAAAGTAGAGCATTATATCTTTACATCACCCCATAGATATTCTTGCACAGAATTCCACCTTCCAACTATAAGTGAACCTGCTCTGCACATGAATCAGCAAATGCGGCTTCTGCCTACTGAGTCTTGATTGTTTATTTACAAGGGTCGGAGGGTGTATAATTAGAGAGAAGTGGTAACACAAAGAAAGTGTGTTCTCATGATTGAGAAAATGGGCAAAATGGAGGAATAATTTGACACCAACAATGAGTTTGTATATGATTCAGTGGGGCTCACTTAAGAACAAAGATCATCGTAGATGGGTACTAGGCAATCTGGGGGGGGATTTTTTGGTGGTTTTTTTTTTTTTTTTAAAAAGGTGCCTGGGTCATGGTGAGGGTTCAGGTCTGACCTTGCTCCAGTAATGTATAAGGGTGGGCTAAGATCAGGCTAGAAAAGTCCTTTTGTTCTTCTATGAAGGATCCTGCGTAGTGAAGGCAGATGGGGTGCCTTGTCACTGTTGTTATGTGGCCCTGTCCTAAGGGGTATGGAAGGTTACAGACCTGGCACTCCCCAGAGTTAGCCTTGAAACCCGCATGTGAGCCAGGATTTTCATCTGCACAACTTGGTGAGACAAGGCAAGATTTTTTTTATTCAGGTGCTGATTGAGGCATAATGTATGCACAGCATGTTTTTCATTTACTGGTGGGCCAAAATGAGAAAGTTCCAGGGCTGCAGAAGTGCTGAAATTTCATAAGTACACTTGTGTGCCAAGTACAAAAGTGCCTAGTACTGGAGGGGTGGGGGAAATACCTTAGGTTTCTTCACTTGGATGCACAAAATTAGTGAATGTTTTCTGAACAGGGCAATGTTAACATAGTTGCTCTCCAGTCCTCTGACCTGTGGCATGAGGGTGATACAAACAGCTGCTGCAGCATTTACAGTGGATTATAGGGTGTTAGAGTAACAGGAGTACCACATAAACATATCAAATGAAACTATTCGTTACCAAAATTTTGGTGCTAGGACCAGATTGAGTGTTACCTATGACCACATACTAAGCAAGAGAAATACAAATACATGTTGAATAAACAGTGCCAGCTGAGCTTAATAACCCATAGAAAACATAGTATCCTGTCAGTTATAAGACATACATGGGATAAAGCTAAATCAAGACTGAATGGGCAATTTTAATTTAAGAAATTCCTTAGCTTTTCCTTCCCTTTAAAACCTTTTAAGTTCTGTTAATGTGTTTTGACTGAGTAAATATGTACAGCATTTTTTTTTTTGTTAGTTCAATGTAATATGAATTACAGTCAGACTGAATTGCAGCGTTTCACATGATTTCAGTTCAAGGTCTATATATAACCAGCTTTGATTTTTCAGCACCCTCTAGAGTAAGCAGAAATCTCCAGCAGCCTTTCCTTTCATCTTAGATAGCTGAGGTAATATACTCCTCTTTTTGCCTTTTTATTGGGCTTCCTCTGAACGTTTAAAAAAGTATTGGAAAGAACTACATTGAAACATGTTAAATTAGTAAATAAGTGATCATATTATAAAAAAAGTCCTTCAAATACCTTCATGTGAAAACCCTACTTCAGGAAAAAAGCCAAAGTTTTTACCTGGCAACCAGGGATAATATTCATATTAAAGTGTAGCTTTACAAGCCTGTGGCTGACGTTTTATCTACTGTAACTGCTAAAAGAGTCTCTGGAAGATGTGCTACAAGGTTGAGCAGTTGTATGCTCACCACTCCTGCAAGAAAGTCAAGTCCTTGTTTACATGAGGACGGGTCGGCTCCTGCTGCCTCCCTCACAGATCTTCCATGGGCCTGTCTACTGACTCTCTTTTTTCCCTTTATGATTTTATATCTTTTTATGCTGGTGTTTTGCCTCTTGGATCCTCGAGCTGCTCCTTAATCCTATGTCAATAATCTCACTTCTGTCTGCAATTTTAATTATTTTGCATAATTCTCACAAAGTAGGGAATTTCTCAGCAGTCTGAGCCAAATACATTCAGTTGGCCTGTCTCAAAATGAGCGCTTGGGTCACAGACAGCTGAGCCTGTAGAAGAATAACATATAATGAAAGCCCACCGCTATTTCCCCCCTGCTCCCAGCCATCTCTAATCTTACGCTTCGGCCCAGGTGTTTCCGAAGACCTCCACACCACTTACTCCCCAGCTGAGCTTTCACAGGAAAGTTATGCAACTGCTGTTGAAAGACAATACTGTCTCAGCAGACCTACCAGCTTTCACAAATGTGTAATTCAGGCAGTCTCCCGGAGTGCATCTGGGCTGCTTTGTTGGTAAAACACTAGAATTCAGCTGCAGCAAGGACCCAATGAAAAGTAATACATCAATAACTCCTACCAGGAAGCTAAGGGTTGCAAAAGTTACTGTCTTCTGTTTCTAAGATTGTAAAATTTGTCTTCAAACAGTGGCATTAAACTGCCAAGGAAAGGGCAACCATTTCCCTATCAGTTTACACTGGTAATTCATTATTCATCATACAGAATTAGAGAGCTTAACTGAAGGTCTTTGAGAGAAGTCTCGAGCAATACACCATAGAAGCTTGGTAGCTAAGATGCTGTTGATTCTTTCCAAGCAAAATGTAACTTGATCTAAAAAAACAGTTTGACAGTTGTTTTTTTTGTTTTTTTTTTTTTAAACATGTTAATTTGTTTGAAAGAACACTGTAAAAAGAATAAACATGGGCTTGATGTCTGGAAGTTACACTTGATACAGAGCTTTTTATTATTATCATTACTAATGTCATAATATGTTTGCTGCTGCAACCAAAAACTTTGTTAAACAGGTTGGTGATGGAGGAAGACTAGTTCCAGTGCCCAGTCTCAGTGAAGCCGATAAATACCAACCTCTGAGCCTTGTGATTAAGAAAAGAAAATGTTTACTTTCAAAAAAATCTAAATTTGCTTCAACACCTTTTACATTAAAAGACATTCTTCAAGGAGAGAAAGAAATTTCTGCAGGTAAGATTTCTATCTTTCTTCAAAGTGGAAAAATGCATGTTTTCTAGTAAATACAGAACAGTAGACATAGTTTAAACTGTGCAGGTAGTATGATGGTTCTTTAGTACATGGGTAATAAAATTTGTCTTGCTTAGTCATGTAATAAATATTTAAGAAAAAAGTACATCAAACTGGTAAAAAAAAGAAAAAAGGACTTTCTGGAAAAAGAGTTAAAAAAAAAAAAGTCAGTTATACTAAAAAGCCTTGATATTTTCTGAACTAATATGAAACAAATTCAGTTAAGTCTTGGGTTTTTTTCACAAATCACAACAGATTCCTGATAGATGTATTGATGTATGTTGATTAATTGCTACTTAAAATTTGTTTTTGATGCTTACCTTTCTCTGTATACTTACTTTTAAGTATGGCCTCAGTTCTGCAGCACATCCATGCTAGTAATCCCCAGTGTTGAACTGGCTCTGCACAGGCAGAAGCATTTGACAACAGCTATCTGACTGAAGTAATTGGATTTCCATAAGATTTTTTTCCACATTTGTAATCTTTTTTTGTGTCTTTAAAGCCCTTAACTGTGTTTAGATTACCTTTGCTATGCAATATCAGAAATTTTTGAGGAGAGTCTATGAGAATTAGGAGGTGCAAAATTGAACTATATTGCCTGTATTTTCCCACACCTTCTTTTAAAAAGTCTGTGTAATTCTTGTTTACATGCTATATTTTCTCAAAACAGTTTCATTTATTTATTTTCTTTTGAAAAAAGGTCCATTTGGACAAAACTATTGATCACATTAATTGCACAACAATTGCATTAATTAAGAACTCTACTAAGACAAGCCAGTATGAGCACAAGAATACAAAAATACCAGTTGACCCCACAAAGGGGTGATTCCAGGACTCAAGCATGATGAAAAAAATTGGAATCCTACTAATCCTACTAGTCTTAACATTCAGGACAAGTCAGCTGCCTTGCCCTGAATAAAAAAAAAATTGCAAAATCTCATTAAAAAGTCTGAGAAATAGGTTGCAAAATCTCATTAAAAAGTCTGAGAAAAAGGTTGCAAAATCTCATTAAAAAGTCTCACAAAAACTTACTAGTCTTTTCTGTAAAGGTTAGATGTCACGTGTAGAACCTATTGTCCTTTAATGTAAGCAAAGATAACTTTGTAATTTAATTTCCTTTTTTATGTGACAAATACAAGCATTTGCAATCTTTTTAGAATTATTATTATGAACTTTGTTTTTGGTTAAAAATAAAGACAAACAGGATTCATACTGGGTGACTTTATAATGTCAGTTTATTCTAAAATCTTCAAAGGATTAAAAAAAAGGGTAAACCCCAGACTCTCAAATGTATTTGCATGACTAATGTCTGTGTTCTACCTGCTCTATTCATTTTAATTTGGCAGCCAGTGCATTCTAGTATTTTTCTGTCACTGTAACGGAAATGTATATAAGGTTATAAAGAAAGCATTATAGAAATGCTTTGGCACCTACCCTTTGATTGTACAAGAAATCGATGCAAACTTTCAAGTAAGTCAGAATTAATCTGTTGTTTTTCCTCAAAATAAACTGACATAGTCCCTGGAATCATCAGGCATACGTGGAAAGTGTGGTAAGTCTTTCTAATTGTGACATGTCAGGTAAAAGGCAAAGTTAATGTTACTGGCACACCCATGTCTCATTCACCTATTGCAAAAATGAAGGAATGTTAGGTTCATTTGTACTGCATCTAGGCAAAATTCAGAATTCACTAATGTTATTTTACACACAGTGGCTTTCATTTTGTTCCTAGTTTTAATATTCTGTGTGGCCTCCACTAAGCCATTTTGTGTTTCAGAGCCTCTGTCATTAAACCCAGAACACACTATACAAGCATAGTTTATACAAGTACCAACAGCATACTTACAGGTAAGAGTACTTCAGGAGAATAATGATAAGCACAGAAATGTAGAAATAGCCCTAATCACTATTTCATGCCCAAGACATATCACATGCAGGAGCATGAGCACAACTCTGCCAGAGAGAGGCACAGAAATCCCTCAGACCCCTGTGTACTCTCTTTCCATTAGTCATCAGTAGTAACACCAATGAGTAAGTGCTCAATGTAGCTCTGAATTTCACATCGAAATGGTTAAGCACAATAGGCACAGTACCATTTATTCTCTTCGTGCTGTGTAAAAATACTGCATTCAGACTTTTCATCACACAACATTTATCTTCTTTTATTCAGGTGTCTCATCTTACCAGTTGCTCAACTATGAAGACAAATCAGATGTTTCACTTAACGGTAGAAGAGGAAATCAGATAATGCATGATGTTGGGTTTGATGTTGCTGGATCAGATTCTGTTGCCTTTAAAGCTTCGTTTGGCATAGTGACCAAACATGAGGTTGAAGTACCAACATTACTTAAAGAACTTACTGCAAGGTTATATTATATATTTTCTTTTCTGGTTCCATAATTGCATGTCATATGGTTAGGTTTTGATTATTTTTAGCAAATCAATAGCAGTCACCATCTGATATTTTCCAAGAGTCTCAGGTTGGATCACCAGGATTAGACACATGACCTTCTGTATGACACAGACTGTAGAATTTTTCTGAATTAACTCTTGTTTGAATTACAGTGCATCTTTCAGGGGCGAAAAAAAGATCCAGAGAGGAAGAGTCCATCCAAGGTCCTATCTATGTTATGCCATACTATTGAAAATTTGAAATTTACTTCAGATGACATTACCCAACTTCAGGTTTCAGAAATAGGATTTCTTTGCCTTTGTCTGATGAACTAGAGTGCCATATGTATTATTGCCAATGTAGATAGTTCAAGGTTTTGTGAGGTTATTACACAGCCTTTTCTTTAAAAAGCAAAGTAGGTTTACCTACTTGAATTTTTCATAACCACCTGTGGCTCTTCTCTAAATGCAATCTCCATTTTTTTCAACATCCTTGTTGAGCTGTGGACACTGAAACCAAACTTGGTGTTCCTGTAGTGCTAGCGCAAATGTCAAACACATAGAAATATGACGTGACTAATTCTAGGTGTAATTCTCTAGTTTACATTTCAAAGATTATCCCTTGGCCATGATGTCATCCCAGTGAATCCCAGTGTCAGATGGACAGACCTAGAATTTGCCAGATGTCCCACATATCCTCTCTAACATTTGTACATTACTGGGTTTCCTTGAATTTTTTTAGTGCTTCTGTTCCCAAACACTGAAAATCAGTATTAAGTTTCCAGAGACCTCCTCAGTCAGTTGTTTTACTGCTATGAGACAGAAGTTACAGTGGTTTATTTACTGATTTAAAGTTACTAATTCTGTTAGGTGCTTTGTAAATTGCTAATAATCTCTGAATTTCCTTCCTGCCTCCCTCTTGATTTTAGAAAAATAAACTTTGATCATTGTCTAGTCCATCAATCAAGAAAAAGTAGGATGGAAATTTTGTGCGTGGTCATGGAAAGTATTAGAACTACAAGGCAGTGCTCATTAACTGTCCATACTGGAATGCGTGGAGAGACAATGAGGGTAAATATGTTTGAAAAAGTTCTGTAACTTAAATGGACAAACATAAAAAGCTCATTTTTATAAAGGTTATGGTTGAATTTAATTGCATTTTTACTGATGTAAGCTCGGAAAAAACTGAAGTAAATCAATATTACTGCACTGATGTAAACTGAGTTAAAAGTTGGTCTTTTGTTAGTATTGCTTATGTGACTGAGGGATGGGAAATGCATGAAAGGATGGCTAGACAATGAGCCATTGCTTTGGGTAAAGCCTCAGCAAAAATGTGGCATTTACTTCTTAGTTTGAATCTCCAATAAATGTATAACCTATCTTTCATTATTATGCTCATCTTCTATAACACATTGGAACTTCAGGTTGTTATTATTTCAAGGGTTGGCATCTTACTCCTTGTCTTATGTTCTTTCTCCCTCTCTCTTTTCAGTGTTTGAATAATTGAACCTACAAATCTTCTGAGGTTTCTCAATTACTAGTATTTATAAATCATTCACATAATTTTCAGTGAGTGATGCAAGTTAAGTTACTACCTCTGTATCAAGCTTTATTAAAATGCACAGTTGTTAATATAAAACTCTTTAGCTGTGAAATTTGATCTTCAATTTCAAAGCTTCCTCCTGGCATTATAATTCCCAATATATGCAGTTAAGATATTATTTTGTTTATTTTTTCATTTAAATTTGTAACTTTTTTTCTTTTGATGCTTTTCTAAATTATAGTTTCACATTATTGAAGATCAGAATTATAAAGGGCGGGACAAAGCCATTGTTTTTCCTGCGCATACAACTATTGCTTTTAGTGTATTTGAACTTTATATTCATTTGGATGGTAATTTTGGTAAGTGATATGCATTACTGTCATAACTGCTATTATTTATAATGATCCAATTTTTTAAATCAGTTTTCTTGCTCTTGATATACATAAGCCCTGATCCCATACAATGGTATGCTTTAATTTTATGCATATAAGTAGTCTGACTTTCTAAGGGAAACCATTCTTGAAAAGATAAACAGGGCAGGTGCTAGAAAATACTCTGTCATGGAAACATTTTTTAAAAGTTAAAGTTTGTAATTTTTTAAAAATCCTGCAGTTGCATGGAACAAAAAATCACTTCCTTATATTTCTAGCCTGTAAGGCACAGGCTTATGAGACCATCTGATCAGTTTTGCATAAAATAGGCAAGTAAAAAGACGCAAGTAAAAAGACCCAAGTAAAGAAGAAAGTGTGCAGAACTTCTAAACTAAGCTAACATTTTTTCTGTTGGGGCTTTAATTTCAGCCTGATACATCTTTACCACATATGGATATCTGAAGATATTTAGGAAGAAATAATCACACTTACTGGAAACTAATAAAAAAAATTGCGTAGCTCCTGTAAGTTTTTCTCCTCTTGGGGAAAGGATAGCGCTTATGTATTTACATTATTTGCACTAATTAAAGTGTAGTCTATAACATTATCAATCTTATCAACATTGTAATAAACCAGAAAGTCAGTTTAAGATTTGATCTAGTACTTGATCAATATCAAATGCAAAACTCCCCACTGACTAGAGTTATGTCAGATGAAGTTTTAACCACCAGATTCACATGTACTTAAACACAGAAACCTCTGTGAGAGTCACTCAACTGTTTCAGGAATTGCTTGACTCTCTATGACGTTGTGGCTTTCTGTAAATAACAAGATAAAACACCTGGTTAGAGAAGTAATGTCTATCTCTGCAGATCTGTACAGCACTACATTTTAAAAGTTGCAAATAGCTCCGTACCCTTTGGCACACACAGTATAAAACTTCCATGACAGGTACTCTGCATTGCAAAGCACCTTTTTACTGAACTGTGAGATAGCTTTACCCTTCTGTAAAAACTTTAAATATACTCCAAACCAGGCATAATTACTGGATTAGAAATGAAAGAGATAATACAGTATGGTAGTTCTTTATATTCACTTCCATAATGCTCAACATTGATTTCAGTTTTGAAAGTGTTTTAATTTTATTTTACCTTTATGCAATGATAGGCACAGTGTTTTTGCTAAAGTCATTATTAGTGAAATAATCAATGAAGCTGGAATTTTGTTTGCATAATTAAAGAGACTTCTCAACTGAGAAAATTTAAAACATGTTTTTTCACTTCCTTGTAATTGATTTTCCTCAGATTTCACTTTGAAGGTTTTCTTTCAAGTTACGGATAAAAGCTTAGGTAATATTTATTTTTATTTAAAAAATACCCAAGTTTTAGTAGTTGATTCGGTGTTTGAAGAGATGACTACAGAACTCACAGCCTTGCTTATTGTTTTTCATTTTTAGTTTCAAAAGAGATCATAGAAATGTTTCTCCTTCAGGAGCAGGGCTTCCATTTATATGATATTGACTATCTTAGTCCCTTAACATGGCTTATGGCCATGCTATGGCCATTGTGTATAAACCAAAACAAACTCTGGTGATGTATGTTGAAAGCCACCAACATTTTAGAATTCCCATTGAATCTGTGTCACTTGATTCTGTGGGCTATTACTGTGTGCAGTACTAGCCATTAAAAACACTAGCAAAGCTGCATTTAATCACTGTTAGCTTTATAGATTAGAAAGAATATTAAACTCTGTTGTGCAATTATTGCTTCTATATTTTGTTCTTCTAAAAACTTATTTTTAATTTTTACAGAACTCTGTGTGACTCCAATTTCAAAAGGAGGATTTGAAAAAGAGAAATCTGGATCATCTTCACTGACCAAATTAAGGAGGTTAAAGACTAATCTGTTTCATCGAAGTATGACTTTTGATATTTATATCCAGATGTCTTAGTTAATGCATGAAGAGTGTATTTTTGTTTCTTTAATTTGTGTGCAAGATGAACCTTTAAAGAAGAAAAATTTAATGGAAAATGTACATCTTCTAATTTCTTGTGTATTGAAATGATTGTGAAGTTATTAAAATTTATATTTGAGAATTGGACTCTTTCACAAATAACAAATTTATGGTATTGCTGTTCATTAAAACTCTAAAGATCTTAAAATAAAAACTTATGGCTAATGATAAACTGGTATGGAGTAATTATGCAACTACAGTTAACATGCCTATTTCATATGCTTGCCATTTACAGCTAGTGTTATGCAATGCAACTTATAATCTCTAAATAGTATTTCAGGGCAAGCACTTTAAGTTTAAATATCAAACCATTAATTTAAATATTTGAATGTACTCTTTAGGGTATATGTTCACACGGCAGGGACATGGGCAAGGTACCATCATAGTTCTCTCTTTCTCATTCCGATATGAATGCAACATCCACCAAAACTGAGTATCAATGTATGTAGCTATATTTTCTTCAGAACAAGATCCTATACTTTTAGCACTCCTTGGTCTAAGTATTTTGGAAATCTGCAAATCTGAGTGTGAAGATAAATGTTGAGCAGTAGACACATCCTTCTAAAGGCTGCTCTGCATAGGTGTCCTTGCTCCATTGTATCCCGTTCTTGATCAAAGGGCTTTTATGGACCAAGCCTTCAGTGCTGCTCCAGTCCACACTAAGGGAATAAATCTTCAGTGGGTATGAACACCTCAGCAGTGGTAGCTGCCTAAAAGTTTGTTATCCAGTCTAAACTAATAAATCCCTGAAGAGAGAGGAAAAAGGTAGGTAGTTCCAAAAGTGATTTCTTCCTGGGGTGTTTGGATGCTCAGAAATCTGCTGGAGTCCTCCAAATTTTCTAAACCTCTTAAGAATTGGTGGGGTTTTTTTGTAAATACTAGGGGAAAAAATGTGAATTTACAGTTTTTAGAAAATAAAACTAGAAATGCAAAAATAAAAATGGTTAAACAGGAAAGTACACCGCTGTGATTTGATTGATGCCTATCTTTTAGGTGCATTTCTAAAAATATTATAATTAACTAGGCCATATACAAAAATTTTCAGGCTTTTGTCAGTGTCTTTTGTGAAATTAAAGAAAAATTTTCATCACACAAGTCTTTTGATGGGAAGTAATCTACAACGTGGCATGTTTAGAATGGTTTCATGAATCAGTTGATATTTCCATAATTAGATTGACAGGTTGTTTTGTAAACAGTTCATAATGTAATGACAAATCATTGCTTCTTTTTTTCGTGTGTTCTTTCCAGATAAAAGAGTAGTACATACCATTGCTAACTCTGATGCTTACTTGGAGGACCTTTTTACAGATTATGATGAAAAAGCGGCAAGCATGACTGATATCTCTACAAGCTATCCGAGAGAAGGGTCTCATATCCGAATTAATTTACTTAATAACAACATCCCCAAAGGTCCCTGTGCCCTTTGTGGAATGGGAAGTTCTAAAAGGGAGACAGTCTATGGATGCCTAGAGTGTTCTTTTAATGGACAAAAGTACGTACGACTGCATGCTGTGCCCTGTTTTGACCTCTGGCATAAGAGAGTCAAGTAACTGAGCTAGGTAAGTGCCTGCTGTAGCAGACATGGGCATAACTGTGCCACAAAATTTTCAGACTTAGTAAATATGACTCAAACTGTTGAAATGCAAAACAGTGAAAGTGCAAAACATTTTATTACACTATTGTCTTCAAATTATTTGCTTCACAGTCAATGACCTTTTACTTAAAAATGCCCTCATGCATTCCGACATTGCTTTTCTTCTTTCTAGAACCTTCTCCTTTCATTATCATGATAATGAAAAATGTACTTTTAAACTGTATTTTCATAATGTCAAAATATATGCTAGAATTTACTTTAAGTTGTTTACACAAACTTGTTGTTAAACCCCAAAATGTTGCCTTTATCTACACTGGCATATGATGGTAAAATGAGACTATTTGTTAATAATTTAGTGTTCTCATGAAGGTTTAATTGAAGTATCAGATTAAAAAACATGCTAAAACTTAACCCAGTCTAATGTTTCATTTACAAAAGGGAAAAACTAAAACTAGGGATAGGCGTTTCATATTAGGATACCATTACCACATGTCAACAGTTTACTTAGATTACTAAAAAGCACCAGCCAGTCCACCTTCTGCATTTGGATTCTAGGTCACAGCTGCTCTTGACTTTCTTTTATGTGTTCAGAAAAAATTGCTTAGCAGAAAATGTTTTGGAAGCTTACAAAAATAACAAAACTGCATCCTTCCACCAAGACTTCAGGGGTGAAGGTCTTTAACCAGTAGATCTCAAGGACAGGAAATTAAGTCTGTGTTGTTGAGAATATAAACACTAGAGGGCACTATAGAATGGTGTCCAATACTGAGTTTGGGAGTGCTGTTGGTTAGTACACCGTTGAAGCTCTCCATGTGCTATTCTAAACCGGGAAAACAATTTAAAAATGTTTTTCTACCTTTTAGAATGATTTTAAGGATAACCCAGGTATGGAAGCTTCTTTACTTGCGCTGCCACTTTCACTGTGTACATCTGATTATTACATGTTGAATTGAATACAGCCATTGCTTTTCACATGAAGAGAGTGAAGTATGTTACACAAGTATTGTGATGACATCTGCATAAGCAGAACAGTTAACTGGCCTGAAGCACTGTCTATTAACTATTGCTACTTCTTTGCATATTTCAAAAGTGAGGGAAACCAGAATGACACCCAAATAATTCCTTAGGTTTATACAGAGTATCTCCCATCATCTTCCACCTCATCCAAGTAAATCACGGTAGTGTAGATTTTTAACTTGGTGCTGCTTAATAAACTGGCTAACTTAATAATTTTATTAAATCAAGTTTAAGAACCCACTTAAAATACTGCTTTTTCATGAACACTAGATTATTCATGTTAATGTTACATCAGAGGTATTTTAAGTTGCTTTAGAAACATTTGTGTTTTTATCTTGATATTCCATAGACAGTGTTTGTTTATTTTCAGGCCTTCTATAGTTAAATTTGCTGCAAATGGCAATTCTTCAAGAAGCTAGCCTAGGAGCCTGCAGAGGTTTAATAGAGTTATCTTCCTGGGATTCTGTTTTCCCCTTTCATTTTACAGGGGATTGAGAAGTATTCATCAGTTATGTTCTAACTGTCAAGAGGTACTGGAACCATTTTTGTGTGCTTGATAGGATAGAAATAATTATCTTCATTAGTATTTTACACAGTGAGAAAGACTACTGAGCAATACTGTAGATTAGGACATGACACAGGAACCACTAATAATAGAGCATGGTGTTTTCCAATTTTATTTCTTTCTTCGGAAATATCTTAACACATTTTATTAATTAAATGTTAAAAATAAGATTTTTACAGTCACCTTAAGAGAGATAAAAAGATGCCACTATAAAAAAAATACAAAAAATTCTGTGACAAAGTATTATTATTTAAAATTCAGTGTCCAGAAAACAGCCAAAGTTTTTTTAAGTACTTAGAGTTCATCATGCTGGTAGACGTTGTACTCCTTTGCTGATATGAAACCATCTCCATCATGGTCATTCTTCTTAAATATATCAGCTAAGATTTCATCATGGACTGAGGGATGACGTTTTTTGCCATCTCTTGCAAATTCTTCTTTCAAATACTGGCTTATCTGGAAGAAAAGAAAAAAGTCGAACCATTGTGGCTTTTACGCCAGTACTCAACAGCTATCTTCAAGGACACTTTGGGTATATACGGAAGTTATTGTGGCTCCAGTGCAGACATGTCTAAAGTTTGTTTCCCAGCAAGTCTGAGCCATACTAATGTATTAATCAACGCAAATTTCAGCATTGCACAGTGTAGTTTGTGTAAGCATACAGAAGTTTTACATGATGAACTGCAGCAGAGGCAGCTCATGTAAAGATAACACAGATGCAACTATTTATTCCAAATTAGTTGCATCATATTACCTCAAGTTCAGAGAGTTTCTTGTCACTGTCCTTGTCTATTTGCTTAAATGCTTCAACACTGCGAGGTCCCTTATTTACCGCATAAAGTTCAATCTCAAAGATCAGTGTTGCATTAGGTGGAATCTTGCCCTGTACTATGAATAAAAGAAAAAAGCATTTAAGAAATCAGAACCATGGTCAGAGATCACACATATGATAAATTCACATGTAAAGCATCTTATTTTTTTATTACAAAAGGCTGTGTTAATATTCAGATTAAACTCTGAATTTAAATATTATACAACTAGACAGGAAGGTTATTCAGCTTGTGTTAGATAAATGATTTTGAGAGAGATTTACAAACAGTATACTTCCCTGAAACAAAATTATATTGCTCGCATCAATTCAGGTACTTCTAAAAATTAAGAGAAGGGTTTGTGTTATCATGAAAAACAAGTATTCCTAAAGTTCTCGCACTTTGACATACTGTCGTATGATGGGGCTTATTGAGAGACCGATTCTAAGACGTATGCCATTATTAAATACCTGCAATCTCATTTAAAAGATTACAATAATAGACCAATGCTTGTATATATTTTCTGTCTGAAGAAACAAGAAGGCAATATCAGGTTTTACCAACTTACTATGAATTACACCTATGGTTAAAGGACTTTATGTAAAATAGAGTTTAAAATATGCATCTCATTAGAAAGAAGCAATAGAATGTAAGTCATCTGATTCAGACAAAAACCCCTACTGGAATATTTTGTCTGGTCCCTGAAGAAAAAAAAAAAACATGTTAGACTTCATTATTCCTTTGTCAAAGCATTTTCTGATATCTGATGTAAAAACACCACGGCTTATAAACACAGGGCATTATATCAGGCATCTGGCAAAAAAAAAAAAAAAAAAAAAAAAAAGGGAACTGAAGAGAGACAGTAACAAACTAAAGAGGTCAAAATGTAAAGCCAAAAAAGCATCAAGAAATCATGCAGTGTAAAATTAAAACGTAAACATGCAAGTTGCTTCTATTCATAGCCATAGCCAGTAAGCATGACAGTGTAACCTCGGCATTTTGACAGAATTTTGAGCTTGTGCCCGTCCTTCATAAACTGAAGAAAAACTAAAGAATCTACTTTTTTTATAAACAGAAGGTAAACAAAACTATTACTCACACTACTCATCTAAAATATCCATAGTAAAAATGACAGGTTTCAGAGTTCAAAAGACTTTAATCTTACAAGCTTTAAAAATGTACAAGTTTTAAATATATCTAAATATAAATCATGGTTTATACACTACTTATGAAAGAAAGATACAATACTAGAATTCAGTGCCAGTAGTTTACAAATATACATACCAACAAAGGAAAGATATGTAAAGATTTAGAAAGCCACATGCATCTTTTGTAATTCAAGATTAGGCAGGCATCTTCCCCAGCATGCAGGAATACGTTGAGACAGAGGACAGATATGCTGTAGAAAAATAATACTTTCTTGAAGTGCTACCTAGAACAAACAGTTAACACTAGTATTAAAGAAGGTACTTTTTTTTGTGTCAGTGTTTTTCCTTGTTATGAGACTTACTTATTAAAGATTATGCTCAAGGGGAAAAACTTATTCCTAGTAAACTTCACTGGCTACGATGGAATTGTATGAAAGACAAAAACTGGTGCATGGAATTCTGACATATCACTACCAAACAATTATTGTAGAGCAGGAGCTACCTTTTCACAGAAACTACTACACCCAAGTCAGAGCTGAGTTATCTACAATTAAGAGCGCTGAAACACTGCATAAAACTTTGACTGGATTTTTTTTTTTTTAAAGTAGACCGCCCACTTTAGCATCATAAACTCAAAACAGATTTCAGGCATTGCACTGTTGCAATTATTATGTAATGTGATGATGTCGTCCATTAACTATCCAGACTGTAAGCAGTATTTTCAACAAATTATTTCTACTTAAGATTAATTCTGTGGCATGCACTGGATTACATTCCATTTTGCTCAAAAGACGCAGAATGTCATTAAAAGGCTAAGCAGGTAGAAGTCAAATAATAGGAACTAAACATGAATAGCATATAATAGATTAAGACAAAAAAAGGCTGATACGAATGATGACGATGTTTCTTTTGCTGTCAATTTTTCGTATTATGGCAATACTTGGAAAAACACATTGGGTGCCATGTACTGAATTCTACTGCAAACTGCAAGGCCTGGGCGTGGGTTTATGATGAGGAAAACTGCACAGGAATGAGCAGGATTAGGCTGCACAGCTGCAGTCATCACCTTCAGTGCCTCAAAAAATAATGGAGCACCAATTCTTACAGTCATTTACAATACTGTATGTTTGAAAGGGTAAAACAGAGGAAAGAAAGTTTAGTATTAAAACTTCTTTTTTACCGTATCCTTGCTGTCCATATGCTAACGACGGAGGAATGATCACTTTGCGTTTTTCACCAGGACACATATTCATCATAGCAATATCTAACCCTTTTATGACTTGTCCAACACCCAGAACGAACCATTTTGGATGACCTTCATTTTGCGTCCGACTATTAAAAAGAATTGTGAATGGTTAACAGTGAATTTAGTATTTTATGGTTTTTTATATAAAAATAAATTAGCAGTCAGTAAAAA